AAATCTCATAAAACCATAGAACGATAAATATTTATTAAAGCCTCAATTCATTTTATTTAAAGGCAATGAATAATTTTCAACCAGTACATTCATTTTTTTAATAAAGATTTAGCAATATAACTTTCCTATTAGATAGATTGGGGTGTATAAAACTAATGATGAGAAATTCAACTTCAAAATTTTAATCTTAGTTGAAAGTCAGTAGAGTCTGTTTACAACTTGAGCTTTGTCATACCAACGACACTCTATATTCGTAAAAGTTTTAGTAAAGTATCGTATACTTTTTGTACATAAATAACTGAATTTATAAATTAATTTATCATATAAGCTGTTTTTATGTAGACAATAATAATCGAGGATGATGCTTAATATAAAAAATATTAGTTAAACCTGATACGTGGTTAGGAAGTATTTGAAATTAATAAATTGAAATAGGTAGTATATCGATAAGCTTTAAAATTCTCAGTTTATGGTGTTAATTTTAGTATTAATAGGAGAGTTAGAGGAAACGAACAGTTTTATAAATGCAATTGATGTGCATCATATGATAAATTTGTCATCTTTTACCATATTAGAATACACTTGCTATACACAAAATCGAGTGATATGATACCCACACATTTGGCTTTCTTAACGAGCCAAAAGCTATTATGACGAGCATATTTACTTCATAAAACCTATATATATATATATATATATATATATATTTCTTTTATATTATTTAAAATTGGTTTTAAAAATATTGAGATATTAGTATAATTCGAATTTCTAATGTATTAATTAAGTAAAAGAGATATCCTTGTTCAGATTTCTAATTTAGTATATTTGTTTTATTTATAATATATATATATATATATATATCTTATAAAATGGTTATATTGTTATACGAATTTACGGATTTTCTTAGCTATAAACTTTACAGCATATAAATATTTTTCGTTATTTCATATAAAGATTTATTTATTCTTTAAATTTAACAATATATCCTGATATTTTATTCTATTTTTGATTAAAATAATTGAAAAGTATTCGCAACTGATTGATAATTTATTCAAAGACTATTTTCTCGATATTTATTATAAGCATAGCAATAAAATATTCATAATCAGGCATTTATGAGAGTAAAGTCTGGAACATTTCCCCCTTATCAGAAACATAACAAGGTACAAGTAATTTTTTAATATTATCAAATTCTTTAAGTTTTTTTTTTTTTTTTTTTTTAATGAAATATAAGGAGCAAATAATAATTGTGTTACTATTCTTAAAGAGTAGTGCGTAAGTACTGGACACTTATTGAGATATAGGGACAATATGAGATGATGTAATACTTCTGCGTTCGCATATTTGATATGCGCGACTAGACAGACGCGCATAGACATGGAAGGTCGGGATTTCGTGCAGAATGACGCAAACACGCGCATTGAGGTATCCCGTATAAATAATTTGGAAACACGTATTCGCAGTCTAACGTATGCGTTGATGGATGGAAAAGGGGGATAAAGTAATGCAGCCAGGCGATAACAGGCGTGACTAATTGAGGCAGGACAAACTGATAGCTTGTAGCTTTTCCCTGTCAGTTCGTTCTGTGTGCTAACCTCCCCTACTCTCTTCCCCTTGACCTCTTTTGTCCTCTGCTTCTTGTTTTGCTTCTATTTTTCTAATTGACTCCAACATAGCTTGATTGCAACTATGACGATTGAGAATTTCACGATGGCGTGGATTTATTTAGAAAAAAAAACGCCCTTAAAGTATCATATTTGTATTGCTTTGAATTACTTACTCTCTCGTGGTATCGATTCAAAATTATTTTACTTTCAGCCAATTCTTAGATTATTATCAATGTTATATTTGCTCATACAAGTTTTTACTCATTCTTAATTTTATAAATTTTATTTTACATTAAGTTATTATTATATTTAGAGCATAAAATGGAATATTATAAGAATAATTTAATATACATTTTCTTCTTTAATTGATTACGTTAACAATAGATGCTTCATCTCTCCGTTGAAGTTTTATTAAATTAATATTTCATTTGTAAAATTAAGAATTCATTCCTTTTTGATAATTTTTCTATTTTTAAAGATAAATAGTACAATGATTAAAACATATCTTTACAAGATTGATATAAATACTTTAAAATAGAGAAATATGATTTTTAGAATAATGTTAAAATTCATTAAAACGATAATTCTATATAAATATTTATGTATAATTAAAACTACAATGAAAGTTTTAATTTATATAAATAACTAAATAATAAATCTAATATTGTTTATTTTATTGTATTACAATATAATTTTTTTAATAAAATATTATTCTTTTCGTTCATTCATGCATAATTAAATTCTAATTACATACAAAAATGTGTGCATATAAGTGATTATTTAATATATATCTACTTCTTGTTTTGAAAAAAGTTGAAAGTTCTTTTTCATTTTAGTTTCTCATTTTTATTTGCATAAAAGAAGTTAAAATTAAGTTTATAATAGTGAAAAAAGAATAATAATGATAAAAGTCGATGTTTACGCATGAATATTTTGGGACATGAAGAATGCAGGTATAATATATATATATAATATAATATAATATAATCGAAGAATTACCAATAATAATAAGCTTTACGTTTGGATATAAAAATGTTACCATAAATCCGAATGAAGAATTGGTCTATATAATATAAGTCTTCAAAAGTCATAAGAATGCGGGAGTTCTAAAAGCAGCAGCTCGATTATTTGAGGCATTGCTATATATATATATATATATATATATATATATATATGTATGTATATAAAGCACTGTGAACATTTTAGATACGTAAAAGTACTTCAAGAAGTATAAATGTTATTCGTTTTGTACGCGTCGCAGTGCTTTTGGATGGCAGAAGGGTTGGATACATGAACATGTATGCTAAAGTCACGTTGCCTTCACTTACGTGTATGCGCGCGCGCGCGCATGTGGGTGTTTGTACGTGCACGATTATAAAGTGACGCACCGGCGATATCTGCAGGACAAGGAGTGCCAAGAACGTATTCTGTGGACGGTGAGGGAAGAGAGATGAAAACGCAAGTAGAGGATTTAAATTGCACAGCAGATTTTCAGCTCAGCGCCCTGTTTATTAAATGTGATATGTATTTACGGAGTTGTAGCTGTGTAAAAATGAGAGACATTATAGTAGAAAAATCTAGAGGGTGATAGGGAGATGTGCGCAGGCGCCTGGGATAGCATATCAGATATATTCTTTATTTAATTTTGAAGATGATTAATATACAGAGTTGAGATTATTTTCTCTCATTAATTTTTTCAATGTCTTTTTACTATCATTAGTTTTTGTTGTTGTAGTAATAAGACGGTTTAATTAATGATTGTAAATGACCAACGTCATAATTGTAACTTATTCAACAATTATATATAAATTCTCATTATATAAATAATATTAATTATTAAAGAGATTCATTTACAATACTGTATCTCATTGTTTAAACTAATTTGGTTTATTTTCAAATATTTTTATGATATATATCTTTTATATTATATCTTTTATAGACATTATTTAAAAATTAATTTTTATTTCCCACTGTTGTTAGCATGACAGAACGAATAAGTGATTTAAATCTTAAATTTATCATAAGAATTAAAAATTTAACTAAATGTCTTTTAAATTTACTTAATAGTCTGTTAGATCGAATTTGTTAATAATTCATAGTAACATGTAAACAATTTATTACAAATTTGTGGAATAAATCTCCCGTTACTTGGATTTTCTGTTAAAAGTTAATTTTTGTTCACCGACTTTATATTATAAATTGTGACTCATAATAATATATGAAGAAATCGAGTGAATGACCATACTGCCGCCAATAGATGGCAACTTATGATAAAATTTCTCTAGAGAAAATTATCTTTACGCCAGTTAATCGTAAAAATGGACTTTAAGTTTTCGTTTATTTCATTAATAATATTTTAACAAATTAAAAATATTAGACTTATTATTTTTATCATTCTAATCGTTTTATCTTATATCATTTTGGAGTAATTTTGTAATAATGACATTAGTTTTGCAAATCGAATAAAACTTAATGATAGACCCATTAAATCTTAAAGTTAAGGTCTAGTGAATAAATTAACTATGCGAATATTTTTTAAAACAAGATACACATAACTTTCTCTCTAGCTTTAATTTTACATTAGTCCGTTCTATTATGCATCGATATTACCTTCTTACAGTTAGTTGTGTCAATGTTAATGTACAATTTCTTGGTTAAATGTAGTTGTCCAAATTGTTGAAATGTTATTCTTTTAAGGTTGTTTAAACGACGAATTATATTATAATTCAAAATAAAGTATCCATCTTATAAAAAATATAGAACAATGTAATTTTATAGTGAATACATTATTTTTATGTTGATATATTAATTTCATAATATGAAGTTCGATTTCAAAGTGAGGTAGCGAGGCAGTGATTTCGATAATGTTAAATTCATTTTATCATTTTATAAATATCATGTTTGATATTCTATATTTAAATTTCGAAAAATTCAGATTTTTATATTATTCCATGAATACCGTTGAATTATAAGCTATTTTTAGCTCAAGAATAAATTTTTTTTATATGAAAATATAAATATTTATAAATATATCTATTAAAAATAAGTACCAAAGTCATAGTATTTAAATTATATTTATTATTTTTTTATTTTTTGCCGTACATTACATACAATGTGCATATAGTAGATTTAATTAAGTATATACATATATAGATATAATTAAGGAATATACATGTTTATTGATCTGCCAATTGAAGTATAATTTTTAATTCACAATTGTATATTCTCGATGCATTATTGTTTTTAATTCATGTTTAATTCGTAAGTTAATAAAGTCAAGGCTTACGGCAATATGAATATTATTCTAAGTACTTTTAAAGAAATATGAGGTTTCGGGAATTGAATTCATAATTGACTAATAGAAATGAAATGATCATGTATTGAAAGCCTCACCTTTGTCGAGAGATCTGGCCAGTAAAATTGTTGGCAGAATTAAAAACACCATATACCATGAAAGTCGGTCTCGCATGTTTGCAAATTATCAAATCCACCTGTAAAAATAAAGAAGAACTAAAATTATTTATAATTATTTTTCTTACTCTTTACATGTGTATATATATGCAGTTGCATACTTATATGAATAATTAAAACAAAATTTTTTTAATAAGCATTGCATTATTTTTATATTTTGAAGAAATAATAAAAAACATAATAATTTTTAAAACCGAAGATATTACATATTTTGGAATTTAAGCACATATATTTAATATTTAATAACGTCATTTATTATAGATCTATGTAAATAAACTTGTTCTTTTACGAATCAGACTGGAATAAATTGCCTTCAGAAATTACATTGATTTAATGCTTCAAGACTGCAGTATTATGCGACATCTATTGAGGTTCCTAATGGACATAGTTAAGGCGCATTTTTACTAAATAGTATATAATAAGTTTAATTATCATCGATATATAGTAGATAATTAATAAAGAAAATAATACTTTTAACGATGAAAATTTTTTTCTTTAACATTATTAATTTTGGTGCTCGTGAAAATTTAGAATCTCGCATTAAATTAAAAATATGCATAAAGGTAGTAATTATTATAATTCTGAAATATTTAATTACGTATGGAATTTCAACTATTTAATACTGTTGAAAAGTTAATTACAGGATATATTGGTGAACCTATTCGATAAATAATTGTATACTTGGTAAAACATCTGCGGCATTTAAATATCAAATTATTCATAAACAAAGACTCTTAGAAGCTGCTTTTTTTTTATCATTAAGAACGTATTTGAAAAAATATATTTTAAGAAATAATATAATATTTTTAAATGGTATTTTATTGCCTATAGAAACTAATGAATGGCCTAACTTGAACGTCATTATTTTGTTATATTTATTCAATACATTATAGATAATATTGATTGATATGATTTTTTTCTGTGAAGTTTCATAACCTCAATTATACGAGGGCGATTAATCAGAGTGAAATAGACTAAAGGATATAAAAGAAAAAGCGCATGTGGAGTCTGTGGATAAGTAATGATTATGAGTTAATACGCAATATAACGTGGATGGGGATCCAGAGAATTAGATGAATCATTAGCAGACTAGACTTTATGATATTTCTCATTGAAACTTGTTTATTTGATTTGACTAACACGCCTCTTATAAATTACAATTTTAAATATATGAGAGGCCGAGAATTTTTCGTTTGTATGATTATTTATCATACTTTAATGTCGTGAAAGTCAATGCCGAAATCAAACGTGGAATGTTTAATCGAGAACGCGTTTCTAAAAAGATTTAAAAAATTATGGATGAATTAATGATTATAAATTTAAGAAGCTCATTAGTGAGGTAGGCGACCTGAAAGTAATAAGCTTCAGTTATGAAGAAATAAATCATTTACACTAAATCACGTTTTCTTTCCATTCTTGTTGTGTGCATTACTTTTTCACATCGGTATTTACTGTTATTTATTAAATGGTACTTACTTAATTCAAAGAGATTTTTTTTATTCTAAGGAATAAAACAATGACAATAATAATATCAATAATAATAATCATAATAATAATAATAATAATAATAATAATAATAATGAATGTGATTTTTAAAGACAATGGTTATAATAATGACAGTGGAAAATGAGATAATCGAAATGCTAATTAGTGAAAGTTATAAAAATTCATATTCGTGTATACTAATGTAATAATTGAGATGGTGATAACGTGCGGTAATTTCATCAAATATTCCAATAAAAAGAAAGTATAATATTTTATTATAATAAATTAAAAGCAAAATAAAATTATTTCCTTGAAGAATAATCAATGGAATTTACATACTTATTTTTTATTTTTCATTTTCTTTCAAATGCTCATATGAATGTTATTAATTATCGTATGTTTAAATTATTTTAATGATTATATTAATAATGATTATTTTCAATCATCGATACTTAATTAAATAATACAATCTCAAATTATAGTCTGTTCAGAAGAATTAAGTGACGATGTGGTAATGATACAATCAAAAGTATTCAATTATTTTTGTATTAAAGCTATATAAGGCTGTGATAAAATTTAAAATCCAAAATTGAAATACTTAATCAATGGAATATGTAATGAAAATATATTAAACGATTAATCAAATCGCGATATAGAGACTTAAAATAAAAACAGTAAAATAAGAGTATAAAATGAATGATTGATTATGTTTAAACTGAAAGTAAATACTATTTGACTGTGAATCTTGTAATAAACAGATGTTATAAGCATAATAAAAGTTAAATATTTTGCCAATTTATTGCAATAATTAAATATTGTATTCCGAATAATTCTAGCTTAGCGAAGGAGTTGGTAATCGGTGATTTGGAAAGAGACTTGAAGCGAGTAACTAAAGGTCGGTAATTAAGAAACTGTAGTAATGGCAATGACTTTGAGGATTGTGACGCGCGGATCTGCTAAACAGATGTAAAAATATGCATTTGCCATTTGCCATGTAAACCATTAATTAGTCTCGGACGATTGAGTCTCGGGTGACTTTCAGTTCTGTCACTTTCTCCCATCCTTAAGTTTCCCGAAATATTGTTATTTTCCAATTTTTTTCCAAACCTTTATGTAAATTCCGCGATCACGTGTGTGTTAGAGCCATCACAAATCTTAACTCTCTTTGTTCAATCGCGCAATCGAGAATGGCGTTTATATTGGCCCGAGATATATACTCTGATTTATCAAAAATATCTACTACCTAATAAGAATAATTTTCTTTTGTTAACTTAGGTAGCGGCTCGAAATTTAGTTACAAAACGTTTCATTTAAAATGGAATTCATAAGGAATACACGATCAGTGGCACATGTTAATCGTTAAACGTGTGCAGCCAAATATTATAACTAATGTCGTTTTATATTTATAAAAAAATATAATTTTTCAATTTTAAGAATGTGATGAAAGCCAGTAGAAATTATTGAATGGAAATAATAAACAAGAAGAAAAGGTACAATAATGTGCAGTTATGAAGATACTGTAAATAATACACAATATTAGCGATTAGTGAAAACGTGTAGCGATTAGCTTTTTATTATTTATTGGATGGGGTTAAGGGTATTAATCAATAAAATTAAACATTGGTTATTATTATGTACAATATGATTTGAAATATTTCATTTGAATGAAATAAAACATTTACTTACATTAAAAATAAAACATAGTTTCGTTTGATTAATTGCAACATTTATATTATTTATTTTATTATATTATAATATAATTCTAAAATAATTCTAAAAATAATTATACTCTATAGTATAATGTCTAGAGTATAATTATTTATACACTTACGTACTTTCTATTTCAGGTATCTGCATTACATCATACTATATTAATAGCTTTAAAGTTTTTAATCGTTATATTTTTATATCAAAATATTTATTTTTCAATATATTGTATAATACGAATAAATTATTAATAAGTATTATGATTCATGACCTGTTGTTTTTTATAAAGCGAGGAAAAACATTTTTGTTCATAATATTTTTGTTGCATATTCATAATGCAGAAATAAGTTTAATCATTGTATTAAGAAAATATATTATAAATTATGTTTATTTATGCTTAATATATTAGCTCATTAAATTATATTTATTGATTTACTTAGAAGCATCGAAAATTGGAATTAGTAGACTGTTTAAGAAGGAAAGGAAGCTTCATTTTATTTCAACGAATAATGTTGTTTTGATTACTCACTGAAAATGAGAGTGGAAATCTCAGTAACTGCAGTGAAATTAGAATGCAAGTTGTTGAATTTAAAACAATTACGCTTTATTGAAGATTAAATGCGCCGCAGAAGTTATTTCTTTATTATTAATACGTTAATTAGGCAAATAGTAGTAATGAGTATATGATATTTTATCGCGCTGTCATCAATTATGTCCGTCTCCACGCAGTCAATATTTCGTTTGAACATATTTTTAATACCATATATATTATATATAAATAGTGAATGTATGTAATAATATTTCCATTGTAGCTGCATCATTTATAGCAATGTAGGCATAATAATATTTTTACTAAAAAATACTGCTTTGATCGAGACATGTCACTCGTAACGATGGAGTGAGATAGATAGATAGATAGATAGAGAGAGAGAGAGAGAGAGAGAGAGAGAGAGAGAGAGATATGTTGCATTAGAAGGGATTAAGGTGGAGAGTTGAAAAGAAAGTAAGGAAAGTGCGTCTGAGATGTAGAAAGGAAACTTATGTATATGTTCTTACTGAGATTTTTCTTCTAGGATAACGCGTCATAATATGAGTGGTCTTGGAAGATTAGTTGCGATTAGGATAACGAGTGAGTTTTATAAAAGGAAAACTACTCGAAAGTGAGCAGGCTGATCCGATATTTGATATATTCGAAGTGAAACTGTCAAACATGAGTTTGAAAAATATTTTTTTGGTGTAGTCTTTAAATTTTCCAAGAAGGACAGAAGTTTGATTTCTTTCTTAATTTCCTCAATTCAGTGTTTTATAAGGGGGTCCAAGCTATTTTGGAGCAATCGCCATTTCTTTAATTAATTTCTCACAGTCTGGCACTTCGGCTAGCAAGCAAAGCCACCCTCCCTCTATTCCTTTATCATTATTCTATTTTGTGTATCCTTTATTAGACGTGTAGATATGCTGAATATAAATAAATCTTTTCAAAGTTACGAATGTCTATGAGCACTGATTTATTATTTATCAACTAAAAATAAGAATCTCTTTACTTATAATAAAAGTGTAAAAATTTATTTTAAAAATTTAATTAAAAAAATGTATAAAGTCATAACGTGACATAATATACAATATTTTTAGAAATTCATTTAAAATGTGGATATGCATTTTTAAAATGTAAAAACTCCCTCTTAAGAAAGTAGCTATATTTATATTTGGAAAAATTGTATTTGGCTATAAGTGTGAAGTTCGAATTCTATAAATCTATATTTCACATTATTACAAACATTTATCTAACGAAAAAAGGGACATTACCGCGCATAGGCAAAAGTTTTAAAAT